GGCAGCTCGGAAGTCAGGCGGGACCTACAGCTTCCCGCCCGTCGCTGGCCCTGAGGCTTTTTCGCCTTTTCAAACCCTGCCTCTTCCTCACGGCCCAGGCTAGGGCAGGGCAGCGCGCCCCCGGGGAGGGGCGGAGCTGTAGGTGAGGCTTCAGGACCCCCTCCCCTTCTAGTCCCTGCCTTGGGGATGGGGAAGTCCGGGGGAGGGGCGGACGCCCCCAACCCATCTCATCCCGCCCCAGCCCACCGGCGGGCTCCACCCAGTCGAGCTCCGGGATTGGGCGGGAGCGAAGCGGTCTATGTGGGGAACCCGGGGCAGGGTGGGAGATAGGGGTTCTGGGCGCTTGGCGAACCGAGGGCGGAAGGTGGGTGAGACGGGCTGTTGCAGACAAGGTGGTGGCGGGATGGAGACACGGGGGAGCCTTGCGGAGGTTGGGGTGCGGTCAGGGTGGATCCATGGGTTTGGGTGAATGATGTAAAATGTTGAAGAGGATAAGGATTCCTTTTTTTCCTTTCGGGTAATGGTAAGATGGGAGATGAAAGGTTGTATTCAAAAGGAAGATGAGCTGTGGATGTAGCCTTTGAGGCTGTTGGAGGAGCTATTGCACTAGGTCTCAGATTTCTACTTTAGGGTTTTGGTTATTTTTCCTTTTTTTTTACCCTCCTGGTGGGGTGGGTGTGTGGGTTGGGGAGGGAAGAGAATTCTTCTGCTTCGGCTCGGGGTGGGTAAATTGTGAGCGTGGATGGGTTTGAAGTTTTACACCCTTCAAGAAGAGTGAGATCTTGGGTTAAGACAACTTCATTCAGGTAGCAGTATTAGGGAAATAGGTATTATTACACTTAGATCCTTAAAGATGTTACCTTCCAGTGTTTTTACTTTGCTGAAAGATCTTTTTATCACCTCATTTACTAGCGCTTACCTGGCCCCTTAAGACAAGGCCTGAGAATCAGGTGGTTGCTTTGGAAGACAAATTTTTGAGTACAGTAATAGGTGCAGGTGGTTGTGGTTGACTGCTTTGATGGATAAAATGAACAATTTGAATAGTTCTCTTGGAGCTAATTATATGAAAAATCCTTAAATATTTTAAAGCACATCTGCCCTTTACAACTTGTTTTTCAATAGACCTTGACATTTAGACATTTTGTGTTCAACACTTAATTATTTTTATTTCTCAACTGCAGATGTCTTTACTAGATGCTTTAAACATGAAGTGGAATAATGTTTTTCCCACAGTATACCCCCTCCATTTCTGAGAAATGTTCTTGGAATCAAGTGCTTTAAAAATACTCTTTAATAACATATTGGGGGTATGTATCACTTCATAGGGAGATACTTGTAAGAGTAAACAGTGTTCAGTGTTCTTCATATCAGTGTTTCACAACTTAGCACATTAAATCAGAATCTTCTGGATTTCTGCTCCCTGTGAGATTACAGTATTCACTGACCTTACCTATCATTGTCATGTAAGCTATTTCTTACTCAGAAACAGGTCCTGTGATGGACATGTATTATGTAATGGATGGAAGTAGGCATGGCTCTCAATAATTCATTTATGGCGGAAGAGAAACCGTCGTGAAATGGAATTTAAGCAGTGACTTTCCCAAGGCTTACTCAATTTATTTGGGAACATAGCCAGAGAAATGCTTTCCTGTAACCCAAGAGAGAAATATATAGATGTCAGTGTCAGTAATTGCAGATCATTGCCTTTTTTAACATGCCTACTTAATGAGCAGACTATCATCTTCTAGAAGTACTTCTGCTTGAAGAGACTTACAGGAAACATATGATACCATATCTATTAAGAGAGAAAGGGTGTGGTCCAATCGTAATTATAAATAAAATATTTAACTGTATTCAGACAGATCAAATTGTAAGTTGGTACAATGAATAGTTTTGATTTTGGATTAGTTACTTAGAAGGAAAAATGAAAAGTTACATACCTAGTTTTGGGTTTTAAATTATACTTTGATTTAATTGGGTACACATGGGGACAATTGTGAAGATTCCAGGTGAAACTTTATATATATTGCTAAAAAGACATTTGCATGGCTGACAGTGAGTTGTGATTCTTCTTGTGGGAATGAAATCATATGATTTAGGGACAATGTAAAGGTGGATGTGATCTGTTTCTCTTTATAATTTCTTATGCCTGAAAAAACCCCTCACATTTAAAAAAACTGAATTTATTGGGGTGACATTGGTTAATAAAGTTATATAGGCTTCAGGTGTTCAATTCTATAATGCATCATCTATATATTGTATTGTGTGTTCACCACTCCAAGTGAAGTCTCCTTCCATCACCATTTGTGCCCCCATACTCCTCTTCAACCTCCCCCCCATCCCTCTTTACACAATATTGTTGTCTGTGTATGAGCTGTTTTTTTTCTCCCAGCCCCACAACCCTTCTTTCTTCTCTGACAGCTAGCTGTCAGTCTGTTCTCTATCTATGAGTCTGTGTTTATTTTGTTTGTTTGTTCATTAGATTCCACATTAAGTGAAGTCATATGGTAATTGTCTTTCTCTGACTGGCTTATTTCACTTAGTGTAATGCTCTCCAGGTCCATTCATGCTGTTGCAAAGGGGAAGATTTCCTTCCTTTTTATATCTGAGTAGTATTCCACTGTGTAAATGTACCACAGCTTTTTTATCCACTCATCTACTAATTTGCACTTGGGCTGCTTCCAAATCTTGGCTATTGTAAATAACACTGCAGTGAACACAGGGGTATATATTCTTTTGAATTAGTAAAACCCCTATATTTTATTTTCAAGAAATGTCACTTGCTTGTCATTACTGTGATATCCTTGTTCAGTCTGCTGAAGTGTTTTATTTATTTATTTTTTCCATAACTAAAGTCACAAGTATGTCAGTCTGTTAATTCAACATTAATACTGGAAACAAAATAAAAGTGAAGGTTCTAATAGCAACAGCTGCTCTTTTTCTACACTACATTTATGTTTTCAGAAGTAGTATAAGACGTGTTGTGTGCATTTTATACATACTGTATCAAAAACATTGATGGAGAAAGACCAGGGAATGAAGCATTTTGGTTAATCAAATAATAATCAGTACATCAATTATCAATTTTCAGAGAAATATAATGTAATAAAATAAAATACAGGCTGTGTGGAATGTAATTTGTTTCTATAGTTCATCAGTATGCCTTCTGTATGTCTTGGGCACTCTTTTATTCATTTATTCATTTAACAGTTGTTATTGAATATGGGTCCAGATACTTTTTTAGCAGCTACGTATACAGTAGTGTATAAGCTGACAAAAATCACCGCCTTCATGGAACTTATCTTCTAAATATCTTCTGGGGAAATGAGGAATGCAGCAAAGGAAATTGATATGAGAAATGGAGTTAGGAAACCGGGAGAGAGAGTGATGTACTAGAAGTGAAGAAAAAGCAAGTTTTCAAGGAGGAGGGAATGATAACTATGTCATTGTTTAAAGATGTGTCAGAGTGTTGGATAAGAGATAATTCTGCTTGATTATAATGTCTCATATCAGAGAAGTGACTAAATGCTTTTTAGTGTGAGATGAAAAAATTGGATTGATTTAAATATATATATATATTTTCTTCTTTTCAGAATAAAATAGGCAGCCTGAGGGTATATACTTTTACTGCACTAAGGAGAGATGTGACTTTGTTGTTATTTATCTTATATATACTTATTATTTAAAAAAAATAGGTAATACATGTACCAAATCTGAAGGTATAAATGAGTACACAGGGAAAAGTAGGTCTTTCCTGTCCCATCCAGTTATTCCTGAAGACAATTACTATTTGTAGTTTATTGTTTTTCCTAACCAGTAAAATTTAGTGCAATAATATGGCACTTAGCTATTTTAAAATTACATAAATATAACAAGTATCTTATCTTCTAGGTGTTTTTTATGCAGGCTTAATATTTGTTTTTTTGCAGGCTTAATATTTGTTTTCATAATTTAAGTCTAGCTGCAGACTTTTTGTTTTATAACTTTGTTTTATAGCTTTATAGAGAGATAATTTACATACCATACAACTCACCTATTTAAAGTGTACAATTCAATTTTGTTTGTGGAACCATCATGACAATCAATTTTAGAACATTTTTAGCACCCTGTTCTTTAGCAGTCACACCTTCACCTTTGGTTTTTAAGTATTGTTTTGCATATTATGTGGGAAACATATTTGTGAAATACTTTGTTACCAACTAAATGGCAGTGAAGCCATTTAGTGCATTAAAAAATTTTAAAAAAATTTTTATTCATTTCAGAGAAGAAGGGGGAGAGAGAGAAATACTGATGACAGAGAAACATCGATTGGCTGTGTCCTACATGCTTCCTATTGGGGATTGAGCCTGCAACCCAGGCATGCGCCCTGACTGGGAATCAAACTGAAATCTCCAGGTTCATGGGTTGACACTCAACCACTGAGCCACACTGGCTTGGCCATTTAGTACATTTTTAACATTCTGTGATTGAATAGAAGCATAGGTTTGTATAAAAGTCAGGTAATGTTTTATTTGGTTGAGTGAATACTTGTGAAATGATTTGATTATCTAAGCATCTTGTTTCCATTCCTTCCTTTATCAAATGTTTATTGAGTACCCTTTGTGTTCCAAGTCCTGTGCTAAGGCCAGATGGATTCCATGATAAATAAGGGACAGGGTTCCTTATTCTTAAGGAGTTTCACACTACTGGGAAAAGAGGAAAAATTAATAGGAGTTTGTGGTCTTCAATTAGTGACCTACAGGGTTTTATACATTAGCTCATGGGATGGATCGCTAAACTGGATTGTGGGATGATCTAAGATGAGATCTTAAGGATAAGTAGGATTTGGCCAAATGAAAAGGATGCAGGTAGAGGGAACAGCATGTGCAGAACCCTAAGGCAAGAAAGCTATAGGGCAGATTAGGGGATCTGAAAGTAGTTTGCAATGTCAAGTGCCAGTATGAGGTGTTGGTATCACCCCCTTTTGTTAAACGTGTTGTCTAAAAAGGCAAAAAAATTATTTAAAAAAATATTTTTTAAATTGATTTTGAGAGAGAGAGGAAGGGAGGAGAAAGAGAAAGAAACATCAATGTGAGAGCAAGACTTTGATCGGCTGCCTCCTGCACATCCCATTCCGGGGATAGAGCCTGCATCTCAGGCATG